TAGCATATAGAGAAAGGAATCTTTGATTGTTCCTCAAAGCATTTTTCATTCTTCTGGCTTAACCCTAAATATCTTTATTTTAAGTCTCAAGGTCTTTAAATACTAATGTTGGTGTGTTTTCTAGAAAAGCCTACACAGTCATTTCAAAATTACCTGACCCACAGCATTGTTTGCAGTTAGCAGTTGGCTTGGGGTTCTGTTTCACATGTTCATCCCTTATTTTATTCCAGAGTGGTTCAGAGTATTTATTGTCAAAAATCTAAATTGCAGTCTGATCTGACCAAAGCACACGATTCCAGTCTAATTCGCTGTGGAATTTTTGAAATCACACAGGCATTTCATGTTTTACCCTCCATACCTTCTAAAATAAACATATACTGTATCAATTAGTATTCAATAAATTAAAATATCTAAAACTCCATTTACACAAGTAGCTCAGTTCAGACTAAATGAAACACATCATGTATATTCATTACACACAGAGTGATTTTTTTATTTTAAGGTATTGTTTATGATAATTATGATCACAGCTAATAAAAAAGAAACATTTAAGAATAGAATATTACATCACACCAATATAAAAAAGCACAGGTAACTGATATAATGCGTGTTTCAGCTGAAGCATACCAAGACATGGCTTAACAAATATTGGAGGGACTTAGAATCAAGTGCGAATTTGTATATAAAGTCAAAAAAAAGTCAAACTTGTCCACTCACTTTATGTTTTTCAAGATCAATGAAGTTGTATAAATGGAAAAAGAATAATTAAAATCCATTGTGCTGTGGTATTCATGTCTACGAGTGAATGTAAACATTTTACTAGAACTGTATATACTCATCTCAGCATGGAGGTGTAGGAGTTGTATTAAGATTGAGCTGATTCTCATTTTTTTCCTTTCTTCAATTCTTGGCTTGCATTGTGAATTTCTTTGGACTGTAACACACTCAGCTGCTGTGAAATAACAAGCAGTGAAAAACTCCCACATGCTGAGCTGATAAGGTTGTCATTTCCCATTGAGATCCTGATATAACAGAGAAACCACTGTGTACTTTCCTCAATAGTTTACTTAATGATCAGGCTCAATGCACCAATAAACCATAAGTACATAATTGACAGAAATTAAATGTGGGATTATTTGTTTTGTCTTGTAAAGTGATTTTTAAGCTAATTCACTGAATCTCAGGGAAGCTTCTGTGGTCTGTCATGATTTCTACATTACCAAGACAGCTTTGGATGTCATGATTTAAGATCAAAGGTTATTCAGAATCAGGCCAGACCTGGTCCTGATGGAAAGCACGGCAGTGACCACTCCGAATGTGCCTTCAATATTTAACATCCGTGTGTTTGTTAAGATATAATTGTTTATGTATAAAAGTGTGTTTATATTTATTTGTGTGTGTTTGAAATAACCTAATTTTAGCTATACTTAAGTAGAAAGGAGAAATAGGCCATGTTTTTTGACAGATTTTAAGTGTAATTTTATAAGAAAAATTATCAGTTTCCAGATACTGTGCCCAAATATTTTTTTAAGAACACACATTGTTTATATCTGACTTTCATTATGAATGAAATATAATAATTAGCTATATTTATGAGGAACTTTAGGATCTGTTATTCAGATTGATAGCAGATTATGCATATTTAGCCTCATGTTTTTTGTGTGTGTTGTTTTTCAGTAGCAGCTGTTAATTTCACACTTAACCCCTTAAAGCCTGAAGGATGAAGTAATTTTTTTTTTTTTAGAAAATTCACATATTTTCAAATTAAAATGGTCATTGAACTTTTTGACAAATTTTTATAAGTTAAATTAAATATTTTAATTAAATTGAATTAATTAATTAATAAATTAAAGTATTTAAATTATTTATTTATTTGTAACCAACCTTGTTGTTTTTTGTCAATGAAAAGACTACCTGCCTTAGGATATTAATTTATTTCCTCTTGTCCATTAGTAATTTAAAGAGACATTGTGGTAAATGGTAAATGGCCAGGCATGCAGGTGTTACAGTGGCACCCATGTACGGAGGCCTTAGTCCTCAACAAAGCTGACCCGGGTCCAAATACGACCTTTGGTCCTTTGCCGCATATCTCTCCCCCTCTCTCATATCCCTTTTCCTGTCAGCCTATTGTCAAAAAAAAACGAGCCACTAGTGCCAGAAAAAATATCCTCGTCATTACATAATGCAAGCATGCATTAAGAGCAAAACAATTCAATGTGACAAAATTTTATTTTCTCTATTAATTTATTTATTGCATAAAAGACGCAATCGAATTTAAGACATAATTCAGCACCTGTTAGAAAACATTGTAATTTTAAATTACAATTTAATTTTACAATTTACAATTTTTATGCACGTTTTAGAAACAAAACTCGACACAGACTGTGAGGTGGGAAACTGAATCCAGATTGCGTCATAATTCCTCTCAGATGTTTAATTTCACTTTTAAAAAAACTTAATCGTAGATTAACTTTATCAGATCAAAAAGTGCAGTGTGATGTTGGCTGACCTGTCAGGCAAATTACTAAAAAAGGTTCTTTAGCCAAGTAAAATTTTAAATCAGTCCACAATCAAATATTTAAACGTTTCCTCATAACTTTATTCTAAATCATTAAAAAATATATATTTTACTACACAATGCATTCAATTATTTAGTAAAAATTATGTGATTAGAAGATAAAGCCTCCTTTCTAACCTCTGCAAGATGATCTTCTTGTTTTGAACTTGTTCATTAATCTAGTCTTGATACAAAGAAATGTATATTAGATTTCAAATTAAATGCACTTGTCTTTTAAGCCTTCACTCGGCAGTGTACACATTGCTCAATGTATGCCGTAGAAGGCAGTCAGCCAGAGCAATATGCAGAGTGCTGCTACTGGAATGATTGTCTCCCTCATTACTCTGAAGCAAAATGCTAAAAGCCGACACCAAGTTGAATAATGAGCTGAGCTGATTACTTGTTTTGTGTTTAGACTCTCACTTCCTACTGGGTAATCATCAATATGTTTATACAAAGGCACCTTTTTTGACAGAACAAACAGATTAAAACTCCTTCATTTCCAGCTGTCTTTTTTAAACACTCATTCCTGGATTCTCTTTAGTAGAGAAGAAAAAAAATCCTTAATAATATTTGGGTTTGACAGAATAAATAATTCATCATTGGTGCGAGTGCTGTTGCATCAAAGGAACTCAGAGTTTCAATTCTTTCTCAGTTGTTTTATCTGTTTGTGATTGGCACGGCAATGAAGGCTTTTATGTGACTCCCAGTTCTCCTCTGACTCAGTGGATTGAATATGGAAACATTAAAACTGTAGTACTTAGCTGGTGAGGCTGAATTCTGGAATTAGTTTATGACTTTAAATCAGCATTTTGGTAAAATTAGTTGCACCAACAGAGGTTCTGAGTCACCTGAGAGACTTAACACCAGTGTTGGAAAGTAAAGTACATTTACTTGATAACTGTACTTTTTCTGAGCATCTTTAAATCAAATATTTCTTTTTTGATTGGTACTTATAATTTTCACTCTATTACATTGCAAAGTCAAATACAGTACTTTATTTTACTAAATATTGTAAGCTGCTAGTTACTTGTTCCTTTTGGCACAGTTTAGTTTATATTCTGGTGTTGCTGGTTTTCTTTCTTGAAATGCAATTTTAACATGCTAGATAGTAGCCCCTTAGCACTGAATTTGGACACTTTAGGGTTAGGCCTGGGGTGTCCTGTAATCTCAGGGTTAGGTATTAAAGCCACTGAAGTAAAGGTCAGTATTAAGCTGATATGGAGGGGTAATCAGAATCTAAAAGTTAGGGTCTAAAGTTGGAAGTCTGTTTGTTTGAGTTTGCATTGTCATTTGGCAAGGAGAATAAAAATGTTAGGCAAGGGGTTCGCTTTATCCATGATGATTAAAGATGATTAAAATTGAACAATGTGCAGGGGTTTGGACAGGTAAGGGAAGTGGAGGGTGTTTTTACACCGCGACCACAACCGAGCCGGTCTAGGCTTAACCGGGCATCCCCTTCCTCCCTTCTTGTCAGAGAAAAAAGAAGGTGGACGTAGGGTTAGGATTTGGAACAGGGGTCAGGGATACAAGAGATTGAAACCCCCAAACACCCCCTTCCCCTCCCTGGTCCACGGGCAGGGCACTTCTTGCCAGGAGTAACCAATATGAAGCCTACCACCCATTCAGGCCCCTGGATGGATGTTTTAGAGATTTGTATGTCATTCCACAAATTTGTTGCACCAACAGAGGTTGTTGCCATGTGACCAAGATGTTCAGTAGAATTAGTTCTCAAATCAGAGTAGCGGTTTGTTTGTGCTATTAGATTCAAACTTAAACCTCTATTCCATAGTGAAAGTGTGAGGGGAATGGTTTGTTTTTCAATTAGAAATAATCAAATCCGTCCATTACGCTTATCCCGAGTGGGGTCGCGAGGGGTGCTGGTGCCTATCTCTAGCTGTCTAAGGGCGAGAGGCGGGGTACATCCTGGACAGGACCCAAGTCCATCGCAGGGCAGAAATAATCAAATGGCAGTACTTATTTATTTGAAGCATTTTCATGCTGTAGTTCATTAAAGCTGTGGTTGTACACATTAAGACATCAGGTGATTTCTTAAAGTTACAGGGTTCTTTAAAATTCCTCTGAAAATTAGACAGAAATACACTGACGCTTGAACATTTAATTTGTATCTTTGAATAATTAAGTAATTTTAAATGCACATGCTTTTGAATACTTTAGTATTTTCAAAACTGAGTACTTGGGTAACTTTAACTTGAGTAGATGTTTGACCGAATAACTTTTAATTGTAGTTCAGTACTTTTACTCAAGTACCATTCTTGAGTACTTCATCCATCACTGCTGAAGACAGCAGCTATTGACATCGTCAGCATCAAAGCATTAAAGCTTTTCTCACCTATGCAGTAGGAAAGAGATGTTATCAGTTAATGAGCATTTGAACCTTCAATAATGTCCTTCTCTCTTCCTTTCTCCCTCTCTGTTTCAGTCCTATAGAATCCTGCCAGTACTTCTACCAAGATTTTACATTACAAATCGATATGGCCTTCAACGTATTCTTCCTTCTCTACTTTGGCTTGCGGGTAAGATGACACACACATATGTGTATTTTACGTCTGTGTATTTTAGTGTATATTTTACGCAGTGTGCACACATACATGAGTCATAGCATTTCTTCACAATTTGTTTCACTGCAATGAAAAATCTGTCATTTCTTATTTGAATTGAATAAAAGTTATGAAAAATTGTTCAGTCCCATGAAAATATTAAAGCCTTCCTTCAAACGTTTTTTTTTATTTATATATATATATATATATATATATAAATAATGCTTAAAATGCGGTACATTTGTATTTTGGTCCCCTCAGCAGAAAAACATCTTTTGCAGCTAATACAGCTGCAGGTTTGTTAGGTTTTGTCTCTACCAGCTGCAAACGTCCAGCCACCGACCTGTCCTGTGCTTAGATAACTCAAGCACAGTCTGAAAAGATAGAGTGTCTCTGAACCTCAGTTTTTAACCCTTTCCTGTTAGATTTTCCTTTTAACTTTGACTAGGTAATTCTAAAACATAAGCTTGCTTTGATATAAACCACTCGATTGTTCCTTTAGGTGACGGCCAATGTTTACTGACCCTGATCTGTCCTAAGTTTTTTCCATGATGGTGTTTTATTTAACTTCATCCATCATTCAATCAACCTTAATCAGATTCCCTCTCCTTACTGAGGAAAAGTATCCTCGTAGCACAATGCTGCCACCTGCATGTTTCACAGTTTTTTTTTAGATTTATGTGCAGAGTTATTCTAACTCTAGAAGGCCAATTATTGTTTTGTCTCAAAAAAATTACATTCTTCCATAACTTTGCTCTGTTACTTACTTGCCTATGGAAAACTTTTAAACAGAATGTTTTATACTATTCTTTCAACAATAGTATACTTATTTTAAGAGGGCAAATTTGTGGACTGTATAACCAGTAGATGTTTTGTTTAAAAGCGTTACCAACTGAGCAGCTGGTAACGTTATAGTAACGTTATAGGGTTATAGTAGAATGGAGCTCTTGACTGTTTTTTTTAATTATTTCCTTCCTGTAGGTTTATGTGTATGTCTATGTCCCTGAAGGCTGCAGCTGCGTCTTTTAAGGGACTGGAAAAATGTAAAATATAAAATGTTCAAAGCATGGTATGAATAACCCCCCCTAAATGTATCCCTGACTTTCTCTTGTGTTTCTTGGTCTTTATGATGTCTCTTAATTTTCTACATCAAACCTTCTGAATGTTTCATAGAACACTGGGGTTAATACTCAATATTATATTATACGCAGACAGCTTGCATTTACTTATACAGATCTGGTTGACTGCACAGGATTCGATATAGGGCCGTACACATGAACCGTACATTTTAGTTTTCTAAATGCTTGGAAAATAATGAATCATTTGTGTAAGTTTATACAATTAGAAAAATTCGACACGTATATTTTTTGTGTAAAACTACATTTCTTTCCGTACTGACTGTAAATATTTTCTGGCAGTTTATAGCAGCCAACGACAAGCTGTGGTTCTGGCTGGAGGTGAACTCTGTGGTGGACTTCTTCACTGTTCCTCCAGTGTTTGTCTCTGTCTACTTAAATAGAAGCTGGCTTGGTAAGTTTACAAAGCTTAGGTAACATTTAACACACCCTGTTTTCCCATTCCTTCTTTCTTTCTTTTCTTGCACTCCAGCTCTTTTTTTTTTTTTTTTATCACTACATCTCTTCCTCTGCCTCCCGGTCTCCCGTCTGTCTTTCCTTTAGTAGGGGCATGTCTCTGAGGCCATGTTGCTTGAGGCTGCAGTCAACTTTCCCTAGTCATTAGAAGTGACAGGGCTGGGTCCTCTGATGTTTTAGCTTACATAGACCCAGCAGAGTGAATGGATTGATGGGGTGAAAGAATGGGGCTGTGCTTTACTCTCTTTTTTTTCTCCATATATGTGTGTTTGTGGTTTATTTGTAAATGTATTCAAGCATTGCACCTGTAATACCTCACGTCAGTCAATAACTGCCTTATAATCTCATTCACATCCACACCAAAAATATTCAGTATTGTGTGATCCAGCATACACCTGCACTCACTCATGCATGAGCCAACTGGAAAACACCCTAACCTGCATTACATAACGACCTACTTTTCTCTCTGTGTTTAGAAAACTGTGACCTAAATTATACTGCAGTGAAAAGGGTTTGATTCCAAGTCTGTTCTTTTTTTGGCCCCTATGTCTCTCCTGATAGGACCCAAAAAAAAAGCATCTGTGTGATATTATCCAACCTCGGTTTTTCTTTTATTTCATTGTCTACAGGTAGAACTATTTTCTCATCCAGATTGCTCTTTGCTAAACATTTAGTGTTTTGTAGCAATTCCTGCCCATAGTTTTGATATACCATGTCATCAGACTGGTTATTTCATGTCTATATTAGCTAGAAAGATCCTTAGTCTTTCCACAAACAGTATGGGGGTTGTGTCAGGGGACAAGATATTGTAATCTGTAGGAGTTTGCAAGATACAAGATATGAAGACGATGTACAGTAGTTTTTTGTTTTTATTTTGAAGCTTTAAACTATTTTGTTAGTGATTAATACTGTATTTTTTGTGTATTTTGTAAATTGCGGAAGCATTCTTTCCTTAAAGGGGTTTTAAAGTTTATTAAGTTTGTGTCAATGTTTGGTTGGGGTTTGAGGACCCAAATGCAGAGGCAGGTTTGTTTTTAGATTTAATGAGAGGTTCAAAAACAACTGAAGCAGAAATCCAAAAATCCAACATGAAAAAAGTAAAACAAACCAGAACCATGGAGACATCAGGGGAAAACAATCACGACGAGGAAGACAAAGTAAGACAGTGTTAGACGAGTAACCAGCACTGAGAAACTGCACAAGGAGAGTATTCATGGGAGACTAAGGAGCTGATTGGGAGCAGGTGTGAAGAGAGGAGTCTAGAAAGGAGCTAGGGAAAAGGAGACCAACACAAGAGGGCGACAGAGGGCAACAAATAAAAACCTAAGAACAGAAATATAACCAGAAAACACAACAAAATAGGAATTAAACCAATAAAACATGGAGCAAAGTAAAACTGAATACTCAAAAGAAAACATAACAGAAACAAGACTGTGACAGTTTGTCTTTTGAGTATTTATTCATAAATTGTTCTTATATAAAAACACTGAACGATAACAGAATAAAGTGATGTTGAGCAGTGAAAATCTGCCTCTCTACTAAGATTACTTGTGTAATGTAAATAGGGCTTGTAGAAACATAGGACTATGATGTTTGATTTGGTGGCGTCTTCGGCAGCTGTGGAAGTTTTCTTATGAAGGGTTACACATTTTCACAGGAAAAAAAAACAAGAGTTGCATAATAAATGAAAAGGATGAGAGCCAGGTTTCCTCTTTCTCATATTCATCATTTAAGGTGTCCACATCGTAGCCCAAGGGATATGGGCGTTAGGGTCTTGATGAGGGTGATGAAAGAGTTTGAAACATCAGTGTGGCTGTTGCTTAATGTTCTTTTGAGAGGAATCACCTTTGAATAATATAAGCTGTGATTGTTGCATGAGGCATATCTATTTTAGGGCAAAATTACAGCTTTATTTGATCTTTTTGTCAGAAAGCATGTATCTTTGTGAGAATACATTGATGATATAGTGTTAAGGAAGTGAGTCATCTTCCTTTGCTTCCTATGAAACACCTAAGGGGGCTCTTATCTATTAATCTTACCTGTATTCATTTCATTTAATTAGATACAGGGTTTCTTCTCAGGCTTTATTTGGGAAATCCAGATAGGTTATTAGCTTTCCATAAACGTAGGGAAGGGAACATAGTCAGTATAATAAATTAAGTGTAAGAATCAAATTCTTACACTTTATAAATTTAATATGAGGTCTGTTGTAGGTGTGCTTTTCAAAGACCTCTACTAGAGGTTCTGCCCTGGCCTCCTGGCATGGAGAAGCTGCAGCCTATGGAAGAATAGATACTGTGCAGTTGATATGGTGTTCCTTCTCCTGCAAATTAGACATTGATTAAGAGAATAACGATGTGTGGCTAATGTTAGAAGAGCATGTACAGTTCTGCTTCTGCAGGAAAAGAAATTAATCTTCTTTAACAACTTAAACCCACGTTTCCTCAAGGGAGAAACTGGGTGGAATTACTGAAGCATGTGGCTCTTTGAAAGATGCTCATAGATCTCAGGGCTACAGAAGCTTGGCCGTCTCAGTCTCCTCCATCTGCAACATGGAATGACTCTGTCAATAAATGACTCAAATAATGTATTAATACATTATTTGAAAATGTAACTCTGTTAGCTAACAGCTGTCTGCTGCAGGATGTGAAAGAGGTGCTTTGAGGCAGCAATTTTAATCCCATATTTCTACTGCCTCCTAGTGGAGAATAAGTATAGCATTCTTTCACTCTTATTGTGGTGTTGGAAGCAGCTGAGTGCAAATGCCTTGTATGTCCTTTAATCAACTGGCAGTAAGCATATTCAGGGTAAGTAAGTAGGTTATCACTACTATCTTAGCCGAAAGATATTGATATGTGGTAGCTTTCTGTCCAGTGTTAGCTTAGTAAGAGCAGCGTCAGATCATGCAATCTAAGCATGGCTTGGCTTACTGTCAGTATCATTGCAGATGAAACATCTCTGACTACTGATTGATAAAATAGTCCTGCCAAAACATGTGACTAAGGGGTCATGCCTCATAGAGCCACAATGAAGTAGGCCTATTCGTTGGCACAGGCTGTAAAGACCTTTTTGAATGAGCATTATGTGAGCAGACGGATGTGTTTGTGATTCTGTGTGTTTACTATGTTTGACAGTGTGAAAGAATTTTTGGTGTTAAAAAGAAATTTTGACATTTGTTTTTAAAACCGATGCTTATAGATCTATTTAATTATCATTATTCGTTTTATCTGCTTAACTTTTTTGATAGCTTCTGCATTTAAAATAACCTTTGACACAATAACGGACATTTATACCACAATGTGTACATACTGTAGTGTTAGATTTAAAAAATAAAAAAAATATTATAAACTGAGTGCCAGACAAACCCAGACACTTTGGGCTTTGGACTTATTAAAAGCTTGTCTCCATATTCATTTCAGAAAATATGGAGACAAATAAATCCATGCCGAAAGCATTGGAGCAAAGTCAGTTAAATACTGTTTTTAGAAACATTCCTTAATTTTAAAGTTTATTTTTAGGCCCTAGTGGCCTTTGTTTTGTTGTTTTGAAATATATGGGGACAGGAAAGTTCCTTGTTTTTATTTTAACTCAGATTAAAAAGATCTATAATTTATGTGTGATTATTTATTTTATCTTCTAATATAGTGCTAAGAAATCGACAACTTGGTAGCTTTCTGGCACTGTTGGACCAACATTAAATAGAGAGTTGTGCATAAAAATTCTAAATTTGCTAAAATACCTGTGCTCTCTATGAAAACCCTTTTTGAAGCAACTTTCTTTAGAGACCAAAACTATAACCGTTTAACCTTCACAATAAAGCTCATTCCAGTTTCTCAGTTGGGGACCTTTTTAAGTTCTGATTGTTTTCTAGAGAAATTAATAATAAGGGGCTAACCTCATGTTGTGGAATAATCCTTAACCCTTGAAAGATATGGGCTGGAGTTTCCGTTAATTTTAAATTTAATTTCTACTGCACCTTTATGGACTAATAATGAATTCACTCTGAACACAAAAGGAATAAGTGAATTATGCTATCCCTATGTAGAGGCACATTATGAAGCAAAGTAATAGCAATAACATTTTCCTATCAATGCTAGCGGCATGAAAACAGCAAAGCAAAATCCGCAATGAAAGCAAATTCACTGGAGTTAAAAAATCTGTCGTTTTTTATCTGTAGCATATTTTGTGATCAACTTCAGACCTGGTCCAGCCGCTGCCTCTTCCCTGCTCTGCTGTAATCTCTGCCCGGCCTCGCAGTCTGCTCTCCCGCTGCTCCTTACCTCTGTGACCTCCCTCCAAATCTTCATACATAGTTCTAAATGAAATCACCTAGATTGAATCTTGAGAAATTAAATGGTATTACAGCTACACGTTAGTTGTTTTACCTTTTTTTTTTAGCAAACTTATATATCTGATAAAGAGATAAACGGAACACAAAAACACAAAAAAAACAAAACAATTGAAAATGCTCCTGAAAGAAAAGCAAGGAAATAAATGTAAATTCAGCACTTCCATTGAAGTCCAAACATGACTCTAGTTATTTACTCTGAATAAAACCATGTGAATTCTTATATAGCTGTAAGTTAAGGTGTACATTTAAATAAAATCTATTTTAAAATCACATTTTTAAAATATGAATATCAAAGCCTCTGCAAAATAGAACTAAGAAAACAATTCAAAGTGCCATGTTGCTGCATAGGACACAGAGACGAAAAAAAATGAAAAAGTTATATAGTCTTTGCAATAATAACAAAGATTCTTTGATCTGACCTGCACACAATGACATATTAAGAAAAGTATTTTCTCATTTACCTTTGTATATTTAAGAAACATACTGAAATGAAAGTTAACTATTACGGTAATCCTTAAAAATTGGATCGTCTGTTGCAAAGACAGATTTAACATTCAAAAGACATTCAAAAGATTTAAAAGACTTTTTAGAAAAACTAGGAATGTGTTCATGGGAATCTTTGATCCCTTTTTTTCCAGAACTCTATAACAAGGTCACACATTGATGTTGGGCAAGACTGTGAATTTTGGCTCTAGTTCATGCAAGTGGTACATGTATTTCCTAGGGTTAAGATCACCAGTGTTTAAGAATAGCTTTAAGGAACTCTTGATTTGCATATCCTCTTTTCCTAATTAATATCATAAAATAGTCTTTTACTAGAAATACTTGTACATATTAGCATATTTGGTTGTGTAACATCAGAGGTATACTTTGTCAGATTTTCAGTTGTAAAAAAATGTATCTTTAATTGGACTTTCATCATTCTCAGAAATGCTTTGATTGTAGATCTTTTCTTCACAAAGGAGAGGTTTTCTTCCCTAAATTTTTATACAAAATTATCACAGTTGTGTGTTCATGTTCTTATTTTAACATGTAGAAAGACATTTGAAACAAGAGGAAAATTTATATTATATATTTTCGATATAAATTTATTGAAATGTCTGACGTATGTTTGTAGCACTATTGCCTTGCAGGAAAAAAGGTTGTGGGTTAGGTTCCCAGCCCAGGGTCTTAAGTGTGGAACTTGCATGTTAAATACATAACAATAATCATTTTCTTAGTCTTATTATTATTATCATTATATTACATATGACATATTTGCTGGCAAGTGTGCTTCTATGGCTATTTCCTACAGTACTTTAGAGTGGATTTGAAATACCACAATAAATGCAGAGCACACCCTCTTGAAAAAGGATTATTGTTTTTTGCCCTGCATTATTTTCATATCTGCTAATCCTTGGCAGGATGCAGACCTTTTTGTAAATTAGGTGCAACACAACTGTGTGCAGAGAGGGAGGGAGAGAGAGAGAGAGAGAAAGCTCTGCAAGAGTTGACAGTGATGCTCTGTAAGGCCGGGAGAAAGGTAAATCGGTTTGTGTAGTGCGGATTAAGGGCACTAAAACTCAACAGAGAGAGAAAAACCCTTCTTATTCAAGCTGACATTCTGATCACATAGACATTTTGAGGCTGGACTGTCATGATGAATGTTTACTTTTAGCTTTATTTTGTCTGAAGCCCATGAGTTTTGTGGGAACGGTTGCATAATTTTAAAAGGACCTTAGAATTGATCTCAAATAATTTTCTTACTCATTGGATGATTTGAAACAATGATTCCTCCTAAACTGCTTGTCTACCGCCGCACACACTGCGATGTGAACCTAGAGAATCTCCAGGAGACCTGGAGGAGAAAGAAGTCTTGTGGAGATCTTTTTCAGAATGGATATAGGGTGAGGCAGAGCCATCATGGGCAGGATTACAAAGGAGCGCAAAATGGATTTTATCATACTCTTTGGTCCTGTTTGCACATTCTATCCAACTGGGGTAAGAGTTTTAGCATTAACAAATGCATATTCTGAAGGTGGGCTTTTATTTACATGTAAGTAGCCCCCATAAGTTTTTTTTTTTTACGACTAGATTCAGTTCTGATTTGACATGTTATATCATTGGTAATGCTCATAATATGAACTGACATACACAGACATTGACACGTTCATTTTTCATTCCATCAGAAATTTCATCTAAAACCAACAATCAGAAGATGTCATCATATTTTAACTCCGTATTTTCCACATTCAAGCTGAGCCTTTGTCCTCTAACCTTCCCACTAACTCCTGTTTTGCCTCATTTGTGTTTGTTAACATTCTCCATAATGAAGTTTTGTTTTCTTTCTTAAAATACATTTTTTTTACTATTGTGCATTTAATTGTGTGTTTTCTCACCCCTTTCTATATTTGCTCTTGTCTTTCAATAGGTTTAAGATTTCTGAGAGCGCTAAGACTGATTCAGTTTTCAGAAATATTACAGTTCCTAAATATTTTGAAAACAAGGTAAGAAAGAACATTCTTTTTCTTGTATTAAACGTGAAACATTTTCATTCTTACCAATTTACTTGTGCAAGATACTTTATCATAAACTGACAACACCTTAAAGTGAAAAACCCTTTTTTGTTTTTATTTAAAGCAACACTGCATAACTCTCTTGAGCCAAGTAATAACTTGTTTATATATATATATATATATATATATATATATATATATACTTAGATTTGGATCCATCACTGAATGAGTCATTTGACCATGTTGGTCCCCTAAACAGAAATAATATTTGGGACCCCCCTTTGCAGACCAGCAGACATTGCAAAAAAATATGTAAAATAAATAAATAAAACCTTCTAGAAGTTTTTTTTACTTATTATTTATCTCTGTTAAATTATTAATAATTATGTTTAGCATAAGAATGTAACTAACAGTTTTTAACACTGTATTATATTCCCACTGTATGATAAAGACCAGAAGTAAATAATGCGTTATGTGTTTAGTTGGTGGGCAGGGTTTAATGTCTATTAGTAACATAATGTAATTGTCCACTTGTAGAGATGTTCTATGATTTATAATGAGTGTCTTTAAAGTTGAACAAGTCAGACTCACAATGGTATGTTGATGCAAAAGGGAAAGGGCATTTTAATAACCTGTCAGCCAAGGTGGGATAGTCCTTACTTAAATAGTTAGCCTCAAAGTTGGATTTTAAATCCCCATGCTTTTTGTAAATATTATTACAAGTTATGAGTTTTGAGTTCGGGCCCCACTCCCACAGACTGCCACTCTGGGTCTCTGACCCTTAATCACACACTGCTCCCCGCATACCGCACAATGGCAGCCAACTGCACCCCAAGTGGATGGGTTAAATGAAGGAAATTTCTCTAATGTGAAATCAATACAGTTCAAATTAATAATGTTTAAATATATTATATTTCATGATACTGAAAAAAAATCTATTTTTAACTTTTTTATTTTTTATTTTTTAATATTTTTCTAAATAATAAGCTCACACTTTAAAAACCACTGACCTAGAGTTCTGCTTTTTGGCTACTGTAACTAAGCTAAAAGTTGTTAGACAATAACAATATGATATTTCTCTGATTTAGAATTTAATCTAGAGGAGTGAATGAAAGTTTATCTTTACAAGTAACTCCATGAATTGTCATTCTACTGTTTCCAAAGTAGCCTGATAACACACACTGTAGGTAGTTGTCTACAGCTATGCAGTAAATTCTAGCACCTCTACTGGCTTAAGGTTACACAGTGTTGCTTTAAGGACTAATTGCACATCATTTTTTTAGTTTGCAGATTTTTTTTACCAACTACAGTTTCTCTTTCATTACCTGTTATTTTAAAATACTTTTTTTTATTAGTACTAAATATATATATATATATATATATATATATATATATATATATATATATATGTGTGTGTATGTATAAAATTTTATTTATCACTCTGTGTTCATTAAGAATTTATATAATTTTTTCAATCTCAATTATGTTACATTTATATTTTGTTTAATCTTTTTTGAGTTGAAGTAGAATATTGTACCAGTTGTTACTCTCATGTTTTTCTCTTTAATTGTCTTGATATTTGTTTCCAAACAAGCAATTCCATCAAGCTGGTGAACTTGTGTTCCATCTTTATAAGCACATGGCTCACGGCGGCTGGATTCATACATTTGGTATGTCAACTTTAACATTGTGTACGTGGTGGTTTCCTATGTATAAATAATTGATTATGTGAAAAGAAAATGATTGGTGCAGTTGCATAATTGAAAGTATATATTCCTTCTGTAGATCGCACGCTTCACCTGGATCACACACTTTTTTTTAAATCATCACTGAGTTTTTGGCCAATTTCTTCCAGGATATTTAACCACTGCTTTTGGCTTATTCAGAATATTTCAGTTAAATAGTTGTTTTACTATGACTGAGCTCAGATCTAAACACGCTCCATATTTATCACTATAATTTGGGTCAGAGCAAGTGGAAGGTTTGTACAGTAAGCTTTATTTATTCATCCCAAAACCTTATTTGATGTGCCATTATCCTTTGGGAATATCCCCAGTGCTGAAGTTTTAACCAACTGACTGGAGATTTGTGGCAGGGTTAATAAAATTTGCTGGTAGTCCTCTCTCTCTTTATTATTTCCTCACTTTACAAAGATTAAAGGACTATTAGGTTTTACATCTAGGTGGATCCATATGTGTGTATATATATATATATATATATATATATATATATGTGTAATTTTGAGTAAAATTAGTAAAATGTCACTGTATATGCAACATTTTGCACTGATATAATACAAATTGTATGTTGTTTAATGAATTAATCTTGGTAAGATTAGTCCAAATACTGTAAGTCATGTGGTAGTTATCTTATTGACCCTAAAGATAAATAATCTCTTTAGAGAAGTTGACATAATAGCTAAAGAAATCCTTTTTTTAGTTTTTTTTTTAATGAAAACAAACCAAAGGTGTTCCTCCTTATTCATCAAGTTTTCTTTTTAATCAATAAGTGTTTAAAATGAGCAGCAAGTGCAAATACATTTATGTGATAAATATAAACTTTTGATACATTTGATGACCACCATCAGTCCTGTTAAGCAACATATTATGTATTTCAAAATATCACCACTAGATGGTGGTCAAAGCTTGATAAGATGCAGAAACCATGCCCACTTGGCCGGATTTGTTTAGTTTTAAAAAATAAATTAAGGAAGTACTGGTGAGTCTCATGGCTAATCATTTGTACAACCTCTGCTCTTATTTCCATTACAGGTGGAAAACTCAGGGGATCCTTGGGAAAACTTTGAAAATTCCCAGTCGTTATCTTATTGGGAATGTGTCTACTTGCTGATGGTGACTATGTCTACAGTGGGCTATGGGGATGTCTATGCAAAAACCACCTTGGGGCGCCTGTTCATGGTCTTCTTCATCCTCGGTGGTTTGGTAAAATGCAATTTTTCTATCCTCTTCTTCCCTCACATATCGATCCTGCCTGCCTTCCTCAATCTACTATTTAGGCCTATTTTAAATCATTAAGCAAACCTAAATAATTATTGATGATCAATGCAAATTGTGTTCAATATATTGTATATTAACATAGTGTGTTTTATACAAATTAAATTCTGCTGCATTTACCTGCAAATGTTAGTTATCTGTCTCAGTATCCTTGTGTTAAACCTAATGTATCCTGTCTGCTGTAGTTCAAGGTCCTAGTCTCCTTTGTCTGCTCTCCCTATGTGTCCCCTCTATATTACTTGAATTAGAGTATATGCTTTTGTCTCATAAATTTGTTATATTCTCTTAAAATAGCAGTTGCGGTTTCAGGACACCCTTCCTTCTGTGTCTCCTCCCACATTTCCAACAAACACAGGGGCAGGAAGATGAGGCTCAGGCCAGCCTGACTGGTACCACAGCAACAGCAGCCCCCCCTCTCCTTTCCTAACCTCTTTATGAATGATCCTATTGGGCTGCCACAAGCACGATAGAGTTAATGTGGAAATGCATGAATGTATGCACCTGTGTGCACTTATATCAATTCAGGCCTCTGGTTCAAGGATTTAGCCCAATCGAATTTTGGAATATAGGCAAGCTTGTGACAGTAGGATTCTTTTCTACATATGTGTGACCATGTGTTGCTTTGTGCTCATAGTGATAGATTGTGTGTTTTGTCTGAAAGCAGAAGGCTCTGGAAGTCTTTATTTCAGTACCTTCACATGCTTTCCTTAAGTAGCAGTGGATAAATTGTGACTCATGGCTAAAAAATATTTAGAGAACAAAACAATCAGATCAGACCCTTAAATTTACTCCTTGCCCTAGATGGACAAATTAGAGATTTTTGTCTGATTTGTTATCTTTCTTATTGTCAAACCTTTCCTTCCTAAAATCATTATTTATAGCCTCCTTGATTTGAGTGATAGATATAGTAACGTGTTTATTCAGAGCAGCAATAGCTTTCTAATGCTTGTGTGAGAGAGAGCAAATACTTCAATGCAGTCCTACTGAATTAATTAAGACAAAATGGTTGTGAGGCATAGATTTAATTGCAGTTTATATCCTTTATAAGTAAATAGCACAGTTATTGAAGTTAACATTACTAACTGTAAACATCCATCGTAGTGAGTGTTTCTCTGGAGCCATGGTTCTTAAAATGTGCTAAAAGCACCAGTGGCGGTACTTGGGCTGTTTTTGTGGTACCCAGAAGTAAGTTTGGACAGTTATTTGCAAAGTAAATGTAAATAATTAACAGAGATCTAGAGAGAAGTTTTACAAGGAAAAGAAAAAAATACTCCCAAGTTTTAACCTGATGCAGACAGCAGTTTAACAGGACCAAATGCTGGTGGCTATTTGTGCTAGAAACAGCTTTAAACCCAAACTAACTGTGTTCCAACTGAACATGTTTAGCATTCCTAATCAATATGCACAGTCACCAGCCAGACATTTATTATCAATAAGAACCAAAAGCAATGCTTGTCTCTATGATTTATACTTTCAAAGGCTAGCTACACAACCAATAAAGGATGTGACATAAGATCTAAGGAGGTACAAATGAAAGTTTATGGGTTCAAAGCAGCCATATTGGATTTGGAGTATTAGGTAATACTACAGTGATACTGTTTGAAAAAATAACAATGGAACTGGAAAAATTAGTTTAAAAAAACACTGCCGTACAGACTGCAGATCCCTATGTTAATCAGGAGTTTTCCAAAATTTGGTTCTGCCAGATTCATAGGAGAAAAAGCCCAAAAGATTAAACACTTCTACATGGCTGTAACATGTAATATCAATTCAGTCATTTTACCATTTCAACAAAATATTCCAAGGAGGGTAGGAAATAACATCCTGTGGCAGATGGCTCCTTTTTCAATATAGTGATTAAAACTACTATTATATAAAAGAGCAGCTGCTGCTGAACTCTTTGTATTTCTGTCATCTATCCTTAAAAAGATCCCTGTTTTATTTTAAATAGTTTTATAAATCTCTTTGCTGATATTTTAAAATATAATCCTGAAAATTGCTACCTTTGAGTTTTCTTTACAGAGTGAAGTGCTGTGGTTAGCGGGAATGGTGGCAACTAGTGGGGTGCATCCACTGATTAGGATAAATAATCAGATAAACAAAGTATTTATTCATTTGGTTTCATTGAATTGAGGGGAAAGATTTAATTAGGAATTAAATTTTTCATTTTGGCAGTCAAGAGTCATAGGCAGCCAAACATAAAACTGTCTGCTATAGCAAGGTCACAAGTTTATAATGCGTTTCGATCCCCTATAGTTTAATGGTAGATAAATAAAATTTTTATTGATAGATGATGGCCTAAGTGTCAGCGTTTCCACAAAAAAAAAAAAACCCTCATCTGATTAAAGGCTGTCAGACATTGCAAAATGCATCCAGCTCATTCAACAGCCCAACTAATGAGTCTTGATACGTTTTGCAGCTGTGGACCATCAGGACGGTCTTTTCAAATCAACCTGCCAGATCATCTGTGTTTGTTGGACAAAACATGGCACATAGGTTTTTTTTTTTTTTTGTTTGTTTGTTTTCAAAATTGTTCATTAGTTCTAAAAATTCTGCCACCCAGAAAAGGTTTTTGGTGCCATCACAGACTGGCAATTTTCAGCTGTGACCAAAGTCCACTTACTGAACTGGATCTTGAAGAATCTTTACATACTGGGGCTCAAAACAATAAATGCAAGAAGAACTTAACATGAAAACATTTCTCCTGTATATTAATTTTTTGGCAGATCTCTGCTGTTAAAACAAAACTTTTTTCATCTCAGAAAATTGGATTCATATTCTCCACCAACCACTCTTTGGCATAGTAGTCTCTTTTTTAGTCTCTTCTTCTGTCTTCTATCTCCTCCTTAGGCCATGTTTGCCAGCTACGTCCCTGAAATCATAGAGTTAATAGGAAACCGCAAGAAATATGGTGGTTCCTATAGTGCGGTTAATGGAAGAAAGTAAGTATTCCAGATGGTTCTGCTGTTTTTATGTGTGCAGTGGAACCCTCTCTGCATGCCTTTTTTTCTTTTTTTTCTGTTCCATGCATGTAGGCCATGTTTGCTCGCTACGTGCCAGAAATTGCTGCTCTCATCCTTAATCGGAAGAAATACGGAGGGAGTTATAACTCGACACGAGGCAGAAAGTAAGTTGAAATCCAGACAAGGTGTGGTTGTGTGACTAAAGCGCACCCTCTTTTTTAAGTTCTTAAGTTATTGGGGGTTTGAGAACTTTACATTTAATATTTTTCAAGTTTCGGTGCAGTAGTTAGATGAAGTCACACTGCGTGACTGGAGACCTTGGCCATTAGGACACACATGTTCATGCCCCTTCACTCTTGTTCTTACTCTTCCTCTGCCTACCCTTTTCTCTGAATCTACCTCTATCTTTCTTTAATTCAACACTTTCCTTAAGTCATTCATGTGCTGTTCATTTTCTTTACTTGTTTTCCTTGACACATCCTGTGTTGCGCTATAATTTAATTTGGAAAATAGAGCTTTCATGACTGCTAAATGTTTCCAACTTGCCGACCTTTAACACATCAACAAAGGCCCTAAAGATAAAAGAAAGTCATGAAATCCCTACTCTCCAGTTTTAAAGAATTTTCCCATGAGAACATAGAAAAACTGAAACATCTGCATATGCATTATTATTGGTGGTCTTTTCAAGCATCATCAATCTCAATGACCATTACTTTATTTCTTAATTTTGTGTATTTTATTTTGCTTGGGTTATTTGTGCATGTTTTACATCTCTCCTCAGTTGCATCATATCTGGGATGTTCTTTACAACCTGCCGTCTCATGGCTTTTTCATTATCTCTGCAACCCTGATGAAAAAGCGCTAATCGTCGTTGTTTGTCACTGCTGTAGCACATTGCATCATCCGTGCTTGACATTACTCTGGCCCTGATCTTCAGTCAGCTCCCACACCCTTGAATGCTGGATGCCTCGCTCCCATTGGAGGCTCTCAATTGCTTTTTGCTTGCTTTTGCCTGCTCCATTCTCAATGCTAAACTGTTTATTGTGTATATGTGGTGTCACAGTTCGCTGTGTGTGGATTTAACCCTAAAGTTTGCGTGGTGCTTTGGTCAGTTTACTTTTTGCACAAGAGTAACACAAAGCTTTTTGTACATTATTCCTCTTATCCCTTTGTGGCTCAAACCTCTAGCCCCATAACAACATTGAGTGTCTTCCTTTCTTCACAGTGGCATAGGAAAACACTACACAAAAAGAAAATAACACACTTGTATTGCGTAACTACACATTTAACATTTTAAAGTACACAAAATGATCACCAGGTATGCCTTTGATTGTTTAAATATGAAAAAACCTTTCTGCAAGAAATGCCCACTAGCCATCACATGCAATTTATTTAGCATATCTGCATTTCGATTAAGGAAATAAGTCTAAAATTTAGTTATGGTTTCAAAATCTCCTCACTCCTTTCCTTTCTGTGCTGATAAAAAGGTGCTGACTTCAGTATGTTAGACGCTTAAAAGGAAGTGACAGCTTTCCATGATTTATGATTAATTCCGCTATTATATTATATGACCACTAGGGGGCACTCTTAGAGCATAAACTTTTAAACTCAGTCATTTAATCCTTCATTAGAAAGAATGTTATAAAAATCAGGTATGTTAGTACTGAAGTAACATATCCTGTCCTGACACAGCAGAGGAAAGTCTGCTTCACACCCTTGGTTTTAATAGACATGCTCTATTTGTAGCAGGAGCTTCCCTTTATATTAGGGACATAACACATTTTCCAGTACACATGGCAGGAAACACTAACCACCTGCTTTACTGATGTTAAGCACAAAGATTAATATTGCAAGGCAGATGTGAGAGTTTTCCAACACTAGTAGACTAACCCTCCTCTATCTCTTTCTTTTCCACAAATTCTCCTTGCTCCATCTTGCCTTTTCTCGCTGCTCTATTGTTAGTCCCTTCAGTTTCAGTTACTCTTTGCAGCAGGAACAATGTTTGGAGTCAGCAGTACAGTGGGGCTTTAAGGGGGGAGCCTTTGTTCTCTGAGATAAGATTTATGAAATGTTGTGTTTGGCTCACGATTTCAGCCCTCACACACAGATGGGTGTTGAGTGAGGCTCTTGTCAAAACTTCAGATCATTTCTCCCTCTCACTTTTTTTTCTCCTCCCTCTGCAACTCTTTGGTCAGACACATGGTAACAATCATAAGATACCCATAAAACACAGAAACTTTGAGGAGCCTTTCAGTTTTGCTGAGTTAATTTAGATACATTAGGAAGAAACTATTAGCAAAAATCGGTTTGATATGCAGCTCTAGAATTCTGTGCATTTCGATTTAGAAGCTGTTGACACATGAAACGAAAAATGGAACCAGATTAGAAGATTATTGTAATTAAATGGTTATGGAGCTTTCAATTGATGAGATCATGATACATTTAAAATAAGTGCAACCAGTGCTTCACCTCTCCTGTCATTAAAAACAAACATTTAAGGCTATATGGTAGCCAAAGGGTCTCATGTTAGATCAACATTAGATTAATGTCTGTTAGCTTTGGTAGAAGTTCTCTTTGCAGTGTAGCATAAACCCTTGAGCGCAGTGACAGCTCTTACACTGATGTAGTAATGACAAGGGTAATGTTCTGTTGGCACCCACCATATTTGGGGTTCTATGGTTTCCATTATGACTCTGTGGTTTCCATTAGACCTCATTCAGCTGAGGGCTTGGCATGGAAACTCTTTTCAACCCTGGCTGAACCCTGTCTGAGAAAAAAAAAAAAGAATAAAAAGAAAAAGACCTTCAATTTTAAAATACACAGCTTTTGTACTTCAAAGGTGAAGCAATGTCACCAAACTCTGTCAAAAATGCATCAAAGGGGGCTGAAAACTTTACAAGAAGTAAACATGGCAGCATTTTCATGACTAGTTAAGGATTAGAGAAGTAGCAATTGAGTGATCTCTCTTGCTGATGTTTTGAGCTCTGTGTTTGTCCGTTCTGTTTCCTATTCCTCCCCAGGACATCCCATGATGTTGTCTATGTGCATGTTTTGTTTGCATGTGCGATGATAAATGGTTACATATATTATTTTTGTGCTGCTTGCTTTTTTTGTGGTTTATTGGGTGGTTTTTTTTATGTTTTATTGTAAAGAACTGTGTCTATGATATGCTTTTTTTCAGTTAATTTTAAAGTTTTATATGCAGTGTATCATAAAAGTATTTTTACACCTAGAGCTTTGTTACATTAAAATTGTAACCTTGATTGACCAACATAAAGCCCAAAACCTAGATTGATAGAGCCCAAAATGTCTGTCTACCCCTGGATGGAATCAATTCTTTACCTGTTAAGCTTTGATGGATTGATGGAAATATACAAAACACAAATCAAGTATAGCTCCATTCTTAACAAACTTTCTGTACCTATGAAAAGTTAACTTATACAATTAATGCTTATTCATTTGGATGGCCTGATATGTATCAGTGTGTTTGGTCATACTGTTTTCTAATTTTGAAAAAGGCGTTCAACATTACTGTTAGATTTATAACATAATCTATGTTTAAACTTCTCTACGACATTCCTGACCAGCCAAGTGTTTTCCTTGGTCTTCATGATGCTGTTTGTTTAGCGATATTCTCCACAAGATCTTGATGTTTTCACCCAACATCTGAATATGTGCCTGAATTAAAATAGGCACAGGGTGACGAACTTTATTACTAATTGGGTAACTTGTGAAGGCAATCTGTTCCACAGGACTTTATTTAGGTGTTTTGGAGTAAAGAGGGCTGAAAGCACATGTCTCCTTTTTAAATATTTAATAATTGTAAAAATGTAAATACAGTGGGGTTTGTAGCTGCATTGTGACAAAATGTAAAAATAATCATTTTGCAAAGCACTTTAGATGAAGCTATATTGCAAAATCAGTGAGATGGTTTTGAAGTTGATTGTTGAGCAAACGATATACTATACAGTCCTACACAATAGAGACATTAAATATGTATTAATCTTAAGACTCTAATTACACATTGATGGTGAAAAATGAACAATTTTATGTAGAGAAGAATGTTTTGTTAATCACATCATCATCCTAGCAAATGTCTATGTGTATACATGAATACAATCTCTTTATATCTACCTTTTACATTTAAATAATTGTGATGTATTCTTTAAGTGGTATCTTTGGCCTTTATAACTGTATGCTTAGCTATGTAATGCTTCTCTCTAGTTTTTCTAAAATGATCAAAGTGTATCTAGATACTCATTCCTGGGGAACAGTACTGATTTTATTCCTACATTTTATGAAATGAGAAATTACCTTTCTCCAGATAGAGCTAGTTTCTGGCAGACATGTCAGCTCATCAGTTGGTTGGAACATATTTCTGCCCCTCTGGCTGAGCATTTGATCACGGCTGCTCATTAGATCGTGGTAAAGGTCAGAGGAGACATCTGCGAAAACCATTATGTCCTGCAACATCCGAAAACTGTCATTCTCTTAATATGGCTGTCACGTTGCCTTGCCAAGTCCGCTTCAGTTGAGTCCTGCCACAGCCATATGGTTTAAAGCAGGAGAGCACTTGGTGATCTTGACTGTGGTTTTCATTTAACACCACTAAATATATTTTACTTTCAACAACCCAGATTGAGTCAGATTACAGTAATGTCCTTTCCAGTTTTAAGTCTTGACTTAAAAGATTAATATCTTCACTAGAGCTATTTCTGGGCATAAGAACATAACAGTAGAAAGAAAATGCAATAATTATAAAGAGTGAAAAACTATGACCACTAGATTATATTCTTGTCATAACGAAGGCTGCTGTACAGGTTTCCATAAGATGCTTAGATTGTCTACTCCATATCTACGCTAATCTTCATCATGACTTATTCAGCTGAATAATATCTAACAGCTTTTTACATTTGATATCTTATTTAAAAAGTAGCTTAAAGTGCAAATGAAAAACAAAAAAATGAACTAATTTCCTTCAGCGTACTTGAGAAAGTCTCGTTGGATGATTTTAAGATTTAAAAAAAGGAAATTTTTGGTAAAATCTTCTTAGACTGATGACAGATTATTGTTATTTTTATGGCGATTCAAAAATAGTATTTATTGTCATAGCAGCTCAGATTTGTATGATTGTAGTAAAAGATTTGGACTTTAATAAGCTTGATATAAAGAAAAAAAATGAAAGATAAGAAGCTGAATTAAGTGTGGCTGTGATTTATTTATAATTTTATCAATTACATAAAGAACAAAGCTGTAAGTCTGTGCACACATTGTATTCATTTTTTTATCAACATATGTAATTGTACCTGATGAGTAGCAATCAATCTGTTTTGGTCAAATTAACACACAGTGTTTTTATTAAGTTGTTAAATTTGAAAAAAATAGATGAGAAAATCTAGTTCTGTAATGTCCATTAAGTGTGCATTTTACTATTGATACACCCATAATTTCCTCTATTTTGGTGTAAAATTCTGCTAGTTTTACAGGGAGTCATTTGTTTTCCATATCTAATGATCACCCAAAGATATTTGCATACTAGTCAGATAATGCATGTGCTATAATTCCTCACAAGTGGTCAAGAAGTTATCAGTTGAACTAAACTGAAAACACTTTGTGTCCATTGCCAATGGAGCTTTTCAAATATTTAGCTTGATGGAATCTTCATTGTTACAGACAGAGCTCATGCATAGCCTAGCATGAGATTCAGTGACGCTATTATGCCATTGATGCTAGAGTTGTTTACCCTGCACCTTTGTGCAGATGTATCTTTCTGATGCATTTGAGCTTCTCTTTAACTAGCTAACCATTACTGATGGTAGATGTTAACTCAGGAAGGCTGCTACAGCTAACCAAGAAGTGCTTTTGACATGTTCAACAAAATATTAGTCGAAAATGTGCAGATTCATACAGCCAGGCTGCAGGAAAAGACTTGAATTAGTTTACCGGTAACAGGTTTTAACTGTTGTGCAAAAAGCAAATTAAACCATGGCCTTTATACTGTATGTAGAGCAATTGGCATTAAATATTTCGAATTGTTAAAAATGATCCCTGTCAGTGTGGCTTAGCTGGAGATCAAACTGCTATAGTAGCAGATGTGTACAACTGCAATGCTGAATTTGCAATATTATAACAGGAGTAATAAAATACTTTTAGCTCCAGTTGTACAGACATCTTAAAGATACTGAATTAAAGAAGCAAGCATAAAGACTTATAGATGCTTGTTAAAAATATTCATACACTGAATGAATTATTAAAATAATAACTGTTATTTTTTTAGGAAAGGGACATAAATATATAATGTTATATCTGGCAGTCTTAAAAACACATGAACTCTTCTCATCAAAGAAAATAGCATTCATATGAAGCTTTTTTTTAATATTTTACTTAACAGCTGTTTATAGATATTCATTTTTATTTTAGTATTGCTCTGACTGTTTATGGAAAATTGGATCTGTTACATTTTAGTAAGGGAAGTCTTTCAGCTAAGGAAGTTGGACATTAGTTGGTTATAACCTCTCAAGAGGACTCCACTTGAAAAGAAACTAAACTTTTATTTACTTGGCAGTGTATAATTTGCATAGATTATAGCTGTTAGATCGGTGACACCAAATGTAATTATCTGAGCCACCACAAGTTCAAACCTTGTTAAAATAAACATATAAATGAATACTTGATTACAGGGTGCTTAGAGGACAAGAAGGGACCTAGCCTTAACCTCTAAGAATGGTCTCACACAAACTCTTGCCTTTCCTTTAGCTCTAATCAGCTCTGCGCTTTCTGTCAGATTCCCCAGGCATAATGTGCTGCTGAGTACTGCCAAGGACCTGTCAAATACTCTGTGGTCCTGTTTAGAGTTTGTGTCAGCCACATGCCGCTGAATCATTTTGAGGGTTTTAGTAATGCTCTGTATAAAAGCACTACTTTATTGATGTATATGTCTGTGTCAAGATCATTTCTACTCACAAAGGTCTGGTTTGGCTGAAGGGACAGTTTTTATATTGGGAACGGATGACAGTCCAACCATTGTGGGGTGTGTGATTATACTTAGATTTTCTGTAGTGGTATATAGTTAAGTGTTTGATTGAACTAAATTTAACCACTTCCATTGAATCAAGGAAAAATTAACTCATATGGCATTAAAAGATATAATCCAGTTACTGGTTTGCTTTGAAAATGCATCCAGTAACATCTCAGTTGAAGTCTCTTTTTTTCGCTTTGTATTAGAGTTAATGTACTGCTTTGGTTTGTCTGATTATCTTTGGGAGATATGCCAGTGTATGTAACGATTTATGTCATGCACTCAAGAAGGTGTGTTCCCCCCTTTTAGGCACATTGTGGTCTGTGGTCACATTACTCTCGAAAGTGTCTCCAACTTCCTCAAAGACTTCCTACACAAGGACAGGGATGATGTCAATGTAGAAATTATTTTTCTCCATAAGTAAGTTCATATTTTTCTTCCTTAAAATGTTTAGGATAGTTTGAACATTATGTTTATATAAGGTATGCTAAGATTTTCTAACTCTTGTGTTTATTTCTTTGAATGATAGTATTTCCCCTAATCTTGAGCTGGAAGCCTTGTTCAAACGCCATTTTACTCAAGTAGAGTTCTACCAGGGATCTGTTCTCAACCCTCATGATTTGGCCCGAGTGAAGGTATAGTCCTCAAGAGATAAAATCATGAGAAACCCCAGTGTGTCTCAGTTGACATTAATTTTAAATTGAATTTAGAAAATAAAGAGCATTCATTCTACAGGCCATCTGAGTTTGGAAAACTGTGTTGCAGCAAATCTTAGTGACACCAATGGAAAAAAAAGTGATGGTATAAGGCCATAGTGGTTTTAAAAGTTTTGCTTGGTTCTTTCTACATAGATTGAGTCAGCAGATGCTTGCCTAATTCTGGCCAACAAATATTGTGCAGATCCTGATGCTGAAGACGCTTCTAACATCATGAGGTATAAAATCCTGGAAAACCTAAACTTAGTGGAAAGAAAGTTGGTGCTATGTTAGATTTTCATGTTGAATATTTCTGACTGCCTTTCTAAGGGTCATATCTATCAAGAACTACCATCCCAAGATCAGAATAATAACACAGATGCTACAGTATCACAATAAGGTAAGTGTTAAAGTAGTTTTAGAGATTAAGAGTTTACTGGAGCTCTAGCCAGCAGTATGATACATTCAAATCATGACAATGACACATTTTGAGAAGAAGTAATTTAAGAAAAGTTTGGTGAATCAAAGCAGTAACGGCAAAGAAAAACCCATTACTACAGGACATGGGGAATGGCCATTTGGAGTCTAATCATTTACTTCATTAATACAGAAATATAGAGCCTGTAGAAGAGCTGTACCCCTTTATAGTTGACGCGGATGTAAGTGCAGTAAAACAAAAGAGGCGCAGTGATCAGCATAAGAGCAAATGCAGAAAAAAAAAAGAAAAAAATTGTTCCCGTCCCACTTCTAAAATGGCCGAGCGCACTATTCTTTATTTAAGAATTTATGATTATTGAAGAATATTGGGTGTGTTTCACAGAAATACACGATGGAATAAAACTGTAAGTTTACCTGTTGCACAAAGAGACACATGATGATACAGGCCTTTATATATATATATATATATATATATATAAACAAATTTAACTAAATAAATGCTGAAAGCATGGTGTATGGATAGTTGCTATGGGTAACTACCCATAGTGTACCCTATGGGCAGTTGTTTCAGACATTATTTATGTTGTATGGAAAACAAACTAAAAGTGCCCTGTTCGATGTTGCGAGCATAAACCAGGCATAAAGGCTCTGCATTTGGAATACAACCTACAATTATGAGAGTAATAATAATTGATAATGGAACTTTATTGATCTCACACTGGAGAAATTTACCACTGCATTTAACCCTTGGGGAGCAGTAGGCTGCCATCGCAGGGCGCCTGAGACGCCATCGGTGGTTGAGGGTTTGCTCACCGCTGTCACTCCCCCCTGCAAGCATTTTTTAAGGCTGCCAGCTACTGTAATATGTGGCAATTACTGAACATGCCAGAGGAGCAGTGTGGGATTAAGGGTCTGGCTCAAGCCCCCTGAGAGGCAACCTGTGGGGCTCGAACTCAGAACCTCAGGATTCCAAGCTCTAAGCACTAGGCTTAGTGCTAAGTGCATACACTTCCCCAGTAAACTTAAACATTTGATTAAGCTTGATTTATTGTATGAAATGTCAATATTTGAGGATTCAAGGCAAATACATTTTGTTTGATGACAAATCATTTGAATGACATTGATGAATACTCAAGCAGTGCCACCTATGTGGACCAGAAAATAGTAAAATCAGAAACCCGTGATTACATTTTTTGTCTGTGTTTCTGTTTTTAAAAAAGAATTTAAAATGTTGAAGTGTCAATTTAAATGTAAACTAATATTTTGTCATTTGACTACGTAACATTTTTAATCTGGCACTTCTTATTTGTTTTTTAATCATAAATAATTCAAATTAATTTATTTGATTTTATTTCTAAGAGATCTTAGCACGCAAAGATTCATTTCATGTCGGGATACTCGTGTCTTTGGGTCTTTAATTTAATTCCACTCGTTTTAGCAACTTTTTTGCTTGGTTAGATTCTATATAAATGGGTACTGTCTGTCCTAAATCTGGCACATTTATATATAATAATGGATTCAATTGTAGATTAAAATGAATTGTCTGTTTAATATGGACTAATTACTGATAAGGTATTCCCTAATTTTAATAAAATTGTTTCGACTACTTAATGCATTAATAATAATGGTAACTAAGGGTTTGTAATGTTGTTGGTCAACCAACCAGTTGTTGGCTGTCATCTAAGTTAATAGTTACTGTAAGTTAAGAAGTTAGTAGCTGATGAAATCAGTTTGAATCTCTTTTGGACTTTTCTACCGTTTAGCAGAGCCAACTAAACCTGCTAAGTCTTATTTATAAAATGTTGGTTTTTTAGCTGTCAGTTGAGTTAAACGTTAAATTGATCATATAAATGTGCAGATTGTATCAGCCTTTTTTTTTTTTTTGCCAAAATGAACTTTTCCTTTAAGAGTGTCAACACCAAATATTTCCATGATCTTTTTACCATGATCTTTCTCCCTCTCCTGCTCTGAAGGCCCATCTGCTGAACATTCCCAGCTGGAACTGGAAGGAAGGTGATGATGCTATATGTCTGGCCGAGTTGAAGGCCGGCTTCATTGCCCAGAGCTGTCTGGCCCAGGGCCTGTCGACAATGCTGGCCAATCTCTTCTCCATGAGATCCTTCATTGAGGTAACTCAGAGGAACAGAATTACTTGCCCTGTCTGGCCATCTGAACAGACCGAGGAAGTACTAATGAGATGGTTCTCAGCATTCTGGAGATGATTTTTGTTAGGATTGAAGCAGAGGTTAACAAAGTGCTGTTTTGTGTCCTGTCTGGTGACAGATGGGCCAGATCTGTGGGAATTCAAACATACTTGTGCAGAGAATTGCTTTCATTGCCGTGTTTATAGTCATTTTGGCACGTTATGTTTTTTGTGACAACTCATCTGGAATCTGTTCACTGTTTCTTCGGCCTAACAATGAGGTGGTTGCTTCTATGAAAGACCTATTTCCATGTCTTAAATATGATGGATCAGCTAATAATGAACAGGCTGATGCTTTGCAGGGAAACATCTGCAGACCTCATTGGACAGATGTTGGAGAGGAAACAGTCCTGCTCTCTTCCTTCTCTTATATACATACATATATATATAAAACACACATGAGATTTAATTCTTTTTTTTTCTCAGATTGAGGAGGACACATGGCAAAAGTATTACCTTGAAGGAGTAGCTAATGAGATGTACACTGAGTATTTGTCCAGTGCCTTTGTAGGCCTATCCTTTCCAGCTGTATGTGAGTAAGTATGACCCCATACTAGAAGGATTTTTGTGATCTAAATAGAGACAGACATGTAATGCTTAGAAACAGCAGTTATTTGCTTTTGTTCAGCTCTTCTTTAATGAAGTGTTTTATTATTTTTTTTCCAGGCTGTGCTATGTGAAGTTGAAGCTGTTGCTTATTGCCATTGAATTCAAGTCTGAGCAGAGAGAGAGCAGGTTTGTGAAGTGAATATTCTTCTCAAATCTGTGTGGTAACCAAAAACATCCGTGAAGTTTTCTCTTAAGAATTAAGCTATTTCCAACAAAGCCATTCTATTTTCTTTTTTTCTATGATCTGTTTGCAAACCTAATAAAACTGTAACTGATTTTGAAGGGTTTAGTGCTTGGAAAACTGTACAGATTTAACTATCAAAATGTAAATAGCTGAGTAAATTACAATATTTCCATTAAGAAGTGAAATGACACAAACTCAATAACAAAGTACTTATTTATTTTGGATATTTAACCATAAAAATATTCATATCCTGTGAACCTTCTCTTAGTTTGCACTTCTGCAGTACCATACTATAGTTTATTATATTTGAATTGAATATAGACATTTGAATTAAAGTAATGCTGAACTATAAAAGTGGGGTTTTCATTTGATTAGCCGTGTTTTTAGTCTCTAGCCTGTTTTTTAAGCTTAACTCTAGATTTAAAAACGTTTGAAAAGAATATTCAAAGCTTTGAAAAGCTCATAGAGCAATGTTTAATTCATGATCTTAAAAAGGAAAGAAACCAATCTACAAACTTACCAAGGCATTGCCTTTCACCTTCCATGACCCATCAGAACCATTAACACCCCTCATGTGACCTCCTTGGCTAATCCAATGGGAGGGATCAGAGGCAGCATTTGTCCCCCCCCTAATTCCTTGTTACACCTACAGTATATTAATCTCAGTGCTCCCATCCACTAGTTAAAACTGAAGAAGCCTCTTGGATAAGAGGCAAAACGTCTTTAGAAAACTTTTTTCAAGCTTGACCATGACCTGGATGACTGAGAATCTTCACAGATACCTTCCACCTTTGTTCTACTAACTTGATCCGTATGGAAGGTTGTCATGAACAAGACCATTGTTTAACAACAAGCATGTAGATGCCCTTTACAGTTCACAACAGGACCTATAAAGGACACTTTGGCCAGATTAAACCAAAACTACCAATCTTTGTCTAACAAGAATGTGTGGTGGACAATTAACACTCTTACCACTTTTTCCTCAACCTAAAGCACGGGGTGGCATAATCATGTTGTCCTAAAAACATTAACTCACAGGGGTAGAATCTTTTGAGATTTATAAATGATTTTGGAAGATTTTTGTGTCTTTTCTTCCACTACAGAAATACTTTGTTTTGCTTTCTTACATTATTTCCCAATTAATGGCAATACGTTTTGTGGTTATGATATAAAAGAATGTAAAATATAAGCACTATATTCCTATTGTAGGCCGTTCCTTATTTTTCATAGATATATATATATTGAAATACCCTTGATTTTATTTTAAATGCATGTAAAAAGAGAGTTGCTTAATATTTGGTTTTCTCAAAGGCTTTTTTAAAAGGCATTTATTTAATTGTAATGTAGTATATTTAGAAATCTTTTTAAAAATCTATCTAAATCTATCTATATCCTGAGCGACCTTTAACACATAATTAGACATAGAGAGGCTGAAAAAGCATTGTACCTTTGGCAAACTTCCATTTCAGTTAGCTATTACTAAAACCAATAGTTTTTTTTTTTCATGGTAGGAAATGAAGTAGACCTTTCTAAAAAGACAATTATATAATAAAAGGAGTATTACTTTTCAACTAAATTTATTAGTTTTAGTTCACTATTTAGTAAAAAAAAAAGTGAATATTGTAAATTAGCTAATATGGATCTTATAAATTACAACCCCTTATACATAAAACATTTTTATTCTTGTTCATACGTCTTATAATTGCTGTTCAGGTTTTTGCTGGTTACTATTGGTATTTAAATCTTTGGTGATAAACTCCAAGTCACTGAGCTTTGATGGCCTCCTTTTTATCAGCCTCATCTTTAGATTCCCCAATATATTCTTTATCAGATTTAAGTCAGTACTCTGGCTTGGCCATTTCAAAATATCAACATTTTTGTGTGATATACCAGCTATTAATTTGGCTAAATGTTTGAGGATAACTTTAATAGAACTGAATTGAGAGAAAAAAGCTGCTGATTCATGAAGAATTTGGACTTATTTTTTTTTTTTAATGCAAGCAGAATCGTATCCATCTAACCATGGATATATTTATTTTGAGAACAAAGAAGTGACTGCACTAGATAATCTTGTTCTGATCAATAGCATCAAAGTATTTAAATGACTAGCATGCTGTATATTCATGTTTCACATTTTGTTTCCTTTAGGTCTGTTTGATGACAGCTAACTTTGCCTTAGTGTTTATTCCATGACAACACATTGTTTTTTTTTCTTCTGTTTCTTAAATTGCCAAATCCTTTCCATTCCTCCCCATTTCGCCTGTGTTAAATTTTTTTTTTCATGCTGCAAAACTGCAAAACTATGTGCATTTACAAAAATGCTCTTTTGATATTACTATTTCCTTTAGTAAAAGAATTCTAACGTTATGCTGTTTTCTTGTATTTGTGACTTTTTAAAAAAAATTCCAAATAGTTTTTGATGTAGAAAAAATTTGATTAAGATTACTCTTTCCATATTTTTTCCTTTTCAGTTGGAAAAGCAAACAACTACAACAAAAAATTAGACTTTATCATACTATAAAACCTTCTTCTGCAAAGTTATGAAAGACTTAAGCAGGGCCCGGATATTTTCTTTGGAGGAAAATACTTCTGTTTTTAAGCCTGACTATTTATTTTAGACAAAGACTGCAGAACGCAGGAGATTGTTATCACATGTAGAACACAAACCGTATACTTGCCAGACAGCTTAGTGCAGCTTGTCTAGTGCTACTGTCAGGTCATTTTCAGCCTCCATCAACAGTTTTGTGTCCAATTTTCAGCTGTTGTGTCTAATATTTTTCAAAATGAACTATGTCTATCTGCCTTGTGCTATTCATACGTGTAATTTTAGCTCTTGCCTTAGTACATCATTATAATTATACCTTAGTACCGTACTCTTTTATACTTTAATATATTTTTTCCCCTCATATATATATACACATATATACACATATATACATACATATATATATATATATATATATTATTTTTTTATTTATTTTTTTTAATTTTATTTATATATATATATTTACTTATTTATTTATATATATATATATACAACGGTACAAGGATTCCAGCATATTGGACATACTTTAAATGGTGCCATAAGGCAATCGTAGTGTACTGGCAGATGATTAAGTAGTGACAGTTGCGTTATCCTCTTCTTTTTTATGTCAATGATAACTGTTTGATTTGAGATTTTTTCTTGTTGTTTGCAGAAGCCGAAAGCGGTATGCCCTCTACCTTATCTTACTTCCAAAGTTCCACCCAATCTCCACCACTTTAAAGCTTCTGACTTTGGGAGTTTCCCCCAAGGAGATTTTTCCAAACACTATCTCACAGGCCTACTCTTTCCAACTTTATATGGTGTCCCTTGTGCTAAATGCACTAACTTCTTTGCAGGCAGAGACTGAGAGGATAGATAAATTGGACATGTTTGTAGAAGTACTGTTTCTTTGTCTTTGCTGTTGTCAGTGTACCAAGGCCAAACTCTCACCCTCCTCATATTTAACTCTATTTTGGTCTTTTTTCAGTTTTGTCCTTAACCTTTTAATTGATTTAATTTTTTCATGTTCAGTTCTTTTTCAGTGTCGCTCAGTTGAAACCCTTTTTATTTGTCTTAGGGCTGAAACGATCCACCTTTCCCCTATTTCGGTCTTCTTATATCAGTGTCAGAGCAGTCCTTTTTGGTTATTTGTTTCAGAATCAGCAACTACTTTGTATGAAAATAACCTAGATCAGATGTGGTGTAGATGAGCACTGATCTGGTGGTGGTAATCGGTGAATAAAAAAAAATACATTTCTTTAAGCAGTGGCTGACATAGCAACATGTTTTTGCCTTCACTGATTTTAACACCAGCCCCAACTCAACACTTGTTTTAGAAAAAAGCATGGAGCTATTCAAATTGGATAGCATTAGATTTATCTAAACTAAACCTTTTAATTCACAAGCACCACAATTCACTTTTCCATTCGATGACCCTTTCATAATCTGTGTTAAATGTAAATCCATTTGTGCATGTTTGTGTGAGAACATGATTACCTTGAGAGGGAGATTCTTGTGGGTGAATGTGCATTCTGTTGTTCCCATTTGTCTCAGCCACCATGTACAGTCATGCTCGTGCGTCTCTCGAGTAGATGTTCCCAAGTGAGGTCACTTCCTGTCAGTTTGGTGTTTGAGAAACAATCCAACTGCACAGAAGTTACTGCAACAGTCTGCATCTACGTACCTGTCCCTATACCTGTACTGCGGTGGCTATGCCTTTCTGTTTTATTACTGTCCTCTTCATGCTGTTTGGTAACTGCATGCTCCAACACAGTGACATATGGTGTTTGATGCTTGCCTTGTTGCTCACAATATGAGGTTTTCAAACTTGATTTTCACCAGTGTGCAACTGGTTTCAGAAAGATGTTATGGATTTATACCCCTGTAAAATCTCAGATTTGGGCAGCAATGTTTGTGTAACTGTATTAGATGAACTAGTTGATGTACTTTTTAGAATACAGCATGCCAGGGATATTGCCTGTCAACCAATCTGGGGGTCACTGAGTGTGAGGGAATGTCAGCAGATGTATTTTGCAGACATGGGAAAGGAACAACCTGATCTGCATGATGTGACTGGACCTATATAATCTTATTCAGACATAATTTTGTTATGTGTATATATATGTATGTATATATATATATATACACACCAATCAGCCATAGAGTTATGGTAATTTTAGGGCAAACTGAGTAACACTGCTTATTCGTGATTTTATGGGTCTTAGAAGGGGGAATCGCTCTAAGTAACCAATAGAAGCAAATTCTGGAGTCTTCAAAATTCTCAGTTAAACTTTTGGGGAATCCAGGGAGATACAGCTGCAGACTTTGCTTGCCCTTCTAAAGAGGATAGGGGTTTCAAATCAACCCCACTAGTATTTCTTGGTATGTGCCTTTTCCAGGACAGATTATATCTTCTACAGTGGCAATTGTAAAGCTCTGAGATACAAAGGGAGAGAACTTTAAGTATATTTCAGAGCTGACTGACACAAAGAGTCCAGTTAAAGTTCAAGTATGATTTCCTAAACTCCATCTTTGCATGACACGATTGTGATTCTAGGACAGCAATGTCTGTTTTGCTGCATTTGGTCTAACCCTATTTTCTAATATCTTATGCTACTACATTGAAAGGTTCAACGTCCTTTGCCAGGGAGGTCAACACATTATCAATATCTGAAAGTTAAAAAACAAGTACAGTATGTCAGTATCATAACCTCTGCAAATGATCTACATTGTGGAAAAATGCTGTCTAGATCAAAGAACAGTCCAAACCTTTTGCAGTAGCAATGTTACTTTTCGTTAGAGAGGTATCTAATCAATGTTAAGTTGGTATTTATAAATTATGGCTGATTGGTGTTTATTGTATTTTCACAATGTTACTGTGTCCAGAGCTCAGATGAGAGGTTATTTTCTTATCGCTATAATGAGACACTTTTAAAAACATATTTAAAATGCATATACCTTTTCATTTGTATGCATATTGTAAATGAAGACAATAAGAAAACATCTCCACATTTTCAATGATCAAAAAAATATTTAGGAAAGATAAAAAAAAAAATCTTTCATCTGAGTTTTGTTTTAAAATAATTTAACTTTATAAAGGTTTGTGGGTTCAATGATTAAAACAAATATCCATATCATTGATGATTGTTGCCGTTAGGTAACTATTAATGAAAAGTGTGTGTGTATGTGTAGGGGTGTGTGTATGTGATAACAGTACAGTATATATGTGTGTATTCTGTATTGTGGTCTAATTAATGGGGAATGATACAGCCAATCACTGTAGGAGTTTGAGATTAAGCCCACTCCCAAAAACCTCTAATATATTCTGTAAAGCAATATTATTGTATTTAAATATTCTTAAGCATATATACATATGCATATATATGTATATATAAGTAAATATATAAATGAATGAATGAAGATAGAACAACAATTTTTTGCAGTTATATTATATTTGAATTATATTTTGTAAAAAATACTTACTAGTTTCTTCTCATTTTTGTATTCAGCATATATTTCTGAAAGCACTCTTTTTTTTCTATAGTCATAAGAACTGACAGAAAGAGCTGTTCATTCCCTTGCATCCTGTTGTCAAATACTAACTGAAAGACAACTCCTATAACTGTACATATGCTATACCGCAGCTGTGTCTCAGTGGCCATCATAACATTTGTTCTGCCAAGATGACTGTATTTGAGTGCTGAGACTAAAACCACTCCATGGCCATGATTTGAATTCTTTCTGCCCTCATCCCTTTTACTTGTACCTCTCTGTCCCTCTTCACACACCCCTGACCAATCAAGTATCATTTTGTGAAAAAGAAAAAAGATTTGAATTTCTGTGTCCGATCATACTGTTCCACATTTTGTCCAACCGTGTGAGTATCACATCCACAAATTGCCCCAAAGCAAAACAGATATATCTGTTCTTACTAAACTGATACACATAAAGCATCTAAATTTAGACTGGAGTAAAATCAACAATATCAACACAGTCGGATTCAAAGCCTTATCAAGTGTGTGTACCATTCCTCTTGATTAGCATGTTGTGGGCATGATCTGAGTGGTGTCTGGACATAAACAAACTTTTCCTTCTATCTGTATGTTTTTGATTACCTAGCATCCTCATCAACCCAGGCAATCACGTCAAGCTGCAGGAGGGAACCCTGGGATTCTTTATTGCTAGTGATGCCAAAGAAGTAAAGCGGTAATTACATCCTGATGGAGAAATGGCAGCAACAAAAAACTATCCACCTTTTATTGAGTTACTGAAGTGCCAATATTTCCCTTATTATTTTAGAGCATTTTTCTACTGCAAAGCTTGTCATGATGACATCACAGACCCCAAAAGGATCAAAAAGTGTGGCTGCAAACGACGTAAGTAGCTTTCCTGTTACTGTGCACTGCTGGCACCTTTCCTTCCCCTCTCTTCCTCTCACTCCTAAACCAGCCTCCGTGTTTATTTGTCCCCTTTTAACTCTTCAGGTTTTTACAGCCTGCTACACAAATCTAAGGTCCTTTCATTGTGCCATTGCTGTTCTGTTCTATGCTAATATGTTTTATGTTATCACACCATTATACTCATAGGAAAGTGTTTGATATGGGTCCCATTTGAACTGCCATATCATCCATTATGGTAGGCTCATTTGTCCATAATTCTATTTGTCTTTTGGTAAATATCAAAATGTTTTTGTCACCGTGAATTTTATTTGAGTGAAGACAACACTTAACTCCTTTACAGACTTGGTTAAATGTGTAGGTAGAAGGTAATAAAAAAAACATAATTTTGCAGAACAGTTTCTAGCAGACTTCAGGAATTTTACATATTTCTAACAATGGTTCCTTTTAGTTTAGCATAGTATTTAATCATTTGCCACTATAATATGAAATTAAGTCCTTCCATAAATGCATATTATTGAACTCAGTCACTACTCTAAATGACTGCATATACAGCTCCCTTCACATTTAAAGATGTGTAAAAGTCTTAAATTAGTAGCATCTCTAACAGTTCTAATAAAATGTATGTGGCCAAAGCTTTTTCTTTACCTCATTTTATTTGATTAGTGTCTAGATGCTTCATAGATTATTGACTTCTTCTTCTTCCTGTATGTCATACCTATAAACCCCTTCTTCGTAGATGTTCCTCTTTAGGGAAAAGATAAAACAATACACTTAATTTTTAGACCGACAAATTATTGAATTAAACGACAGCTTTTCCTCCTAATCTTTCCTCCAAAAATCAAAAGTAATTTAATTTTAGGTCTAGTTTCAACAACCAAATTTGGCCTTTATTACAGTTATGAATAGTGGACAGTACGGTATACAGAGATGGGAAGTAACAAAGTACAAATACTTCGTTACTGTACTCAAGTAGATTTTTCTGATATTTTTACTTTACTTTACTACTTATTTTTATGGCGACTTTTTACTTC